AGAGAGAGAGAGAGAGAGAGAGAGAGAGAGAGAGAGAGAGAGAGAGAGAGAGAGAGAGAGAGAGAGAGAGAGAGAGAGAGGAAGGGAGAGCTAGGAATGGCAACTCTTTTATGGAGACGCCTCCCAGTGTCCGACTTTGGCATTGTATTTGGAATTATTGGTGGCAGATGGAGTCGGAGGAGAGATTACTATCTTTTTGCCTGCTATATCTGGGCCTTCTTCTTGTTCTTCGCTATCTTTTTCCTCTTCTCCTCCCCTCATCATCTATGGCTTATCTTCAGTGTGTCACTGACTTCCGGAAAAGGCCCTTAAATCAAGACCAGCTTTGAACGTGGGACACTGGGCACATTCAGCAGGTTACTGGTATACAAAAGTGTTGGGAGTAGGTACGGCAGAAGATGGATCCTTATGGGATGTTTCCCAGTGTCCGACTTTGGCATTGTATTTGGCAACTCTTTAATGGAGACGTCTCCCAGTGTCCGGCTTTGGCATTGTATTTGGAACGATTGGAGGCAGATGGAGTTGGAGGAGAGATTACTATCATTTTGGCTGCTATGTCGGGGCCTTCTTCTTGTTCTTCGCGATCTTTGTCCTTTTCTCCTCCCCTCATCATCTATGGCTTCTCTTCAGCCATGTCACTGGCTTCTGGAAAAGGCCTTTAAATCAAGACCAGCTTTTAACCTGGCGCACTGGGCACATTCAGCAGGTTACTGGTATACAAAGCGTTGGAAGTAGGTATGGCAGAAGATGGATCCTTATGGGATCCGGTAGATTTGCTCTGGGCAGCATCAACCATATGATTATGCCGAAGAGGCTCTGAAAAACAGTGGGCTGATCTTACTGTCGAGTTTTGCTCTCCGACTCTGCATATGAGATCAAGCCCAAGTCGGAGTTCTTTCCGCAGAACGAGTGTTTGAACAACTCCACAAAGTTTACTGTTTGTGGTGTCTGACCAGAAGTCATTATATTGCAATGCTGCACAGAAAACTTCTTTTCCCAGCTGTCTTATTTCTTCACAAAGAAACCAATTTGGTGCACAGCCTCACAATCCTACGGGATCCTGAAGAGTTCTGTTGGCCAGATGGTTGATGGGTGGCTTGGGCTTGCATGACAACTGGCCATGGAACGTAGAGAGAAACAGTGAAGTTTAACTTCGTATTCATGCTGGTTTTGTTCTCTGTGATGGTCCTCAGATGTGTGGATGTTGTTGTACTTGGGTCTGTCTTCAAGTTGCGGAAGATTTTCACTCTGCGTTGCCGGCCATTGGATCTTGCGGCATTTGATGGTGATGGTCGGAAGAAGACCAAAGCAAACGGGATGATTGGAGAGCCAATTCCGCAGGAACACTCATTTGCTACAGGGGTGGAGTCCTTCATGCAAATTTTGGACATGAGTTGTCTGAACGAGGCCCTGAACATAAGGGCAGGAAGCATGACTGAGGCAAACGTGTCGAGCAAAACTAAAGGTAAGGACTGCTAAGCAAATTTCCCATTCAGCTCATTACTGTGGCACATTGTTGCCCTTTCACAGCAGGATATAGATGGCATCGTGTCTTTTTTGGGGTGCCAGACATTTGAAGTCCTGATTACTGGGCACTTTCAGAGCTGAGCAGGTTTGGAGTCGGTTTTTATTTTGCTTTATTTAAGTCTGGACCTGTACTGTCTTTGCTTTTCTTTGACTATTATCTTATATGTCTGGACCTGTACTGTCTTTGCTTTTGTTAGCTTTTCTTTGACTATTATGCAAGGAAGATGAGCAATAGCGAACTTCAGCAATCAACCAGCATCATACATATAAGACCAGATAATCGTGACCTCGAATCAAAAGCAGAATTGCATCAAGAGTTTCACCAAATAAGAGTACACCAGAAGCTCATAATTGACAATGCTGGAATAGTCTCATCATCATCCTCAATGAAGAACCAATGTTGATATCCTATCTGGCGCTCGGCGCCCAAACTAGAGATGGCAGATCCTATCTAGCCTAGACTACAATGCCGAAGATGACAACAGCTCTCCCGAAGTACGAGCAGATAGCGGCCAATGCCGCACGCTTCCAGCACCAGGTATGTCTCTCGCATCACTCACAACCTCGTTCCCCAACACACAGATGCCACATGCACCCAAGGACCACCATGCGCCACACCCAGCCTACAGCAGCGCAGCTTGGCTATGGCTCCCTTCTCCTTCCAGCTCGCCCGCAAGCGCGTGAGTGCCAGCCAGCTTCAGCGCAGCAGCGCTTGCGCAGCATGCAGGCAGCACCCGAATGACAAAAGCGTGGGCTGGCCCTTTCCTATATGGAAATGGCCAGCCTGCGTGCGTGCAGCCTGACTGTGCTGGGCCTTGGCCCAGAAGCTTCCGGTAGGCCAAGGGAGGCTGAGCCTCCAATCAAACGGATTGGCCCAGGGCCACGGACAGTTACTTGTGCCCAAATACCCACAGTCTGAGTTGGGCCTATGCTGCGAATCTCGCCCAGGGCCTGACTCAGATGCATTTGATAAAGGAGATCAGGGCCTGGGCGGTTCCAACCAACTGGCGCTGCGCAACTGCCTGCATTTTCTCCAGTTGCGAAGTAGTCCAAAATAGGCCTCTTAGGGTCCGTCGGGCCTGCCTTCACTTGGGGCGGCCGACGCTGTTGCAAATAGGGGCCCAGTAGGGCATATCGAGGCCTTTGCCTCGCATTCCCTCCTCCATACTTCGCTAGTCCTCTGAGAAGTTCAGTCTTCGATATTCTGGCGCTTGCCTTTCCGTAGAGACTTCTTATAGTGAGCGCCTGCCTGTGGAGCGGTCTGCATCAGTTCCTCCCTTTTGAACCATCTGTCCTCCCTGGGGTCAGTGTGATGTCTGAACCGAACTCGGTACTGCAGCTTCGGTTTTGGAGGACGTCCTCTGCCGGTTGGTCTTGGAACTGGCATCTCTCTGTGATCACCGATGTCGTCGATGTCGACCTCTCCATCCATGGTTGGGTGCAGCATAGAGCGACGAGAAGGAAACTGGTCAGTTTCTTTGAATGGTGCAAGCTTTGAGGCGTGGAAAACAGGGTAAGTGAGTAAGTGACCAGGGATGTGAACAACATAAGACGGACCATCTGGTTCATTCCCAACAACATCCAGAATCTCCCATGGTCCAAAGTACTGCGGCATGAGCTTGCGGGAGATCCTGTGCTCCTGTCCCAGTTCTGAGGACTTGACCCGGACTCTCTCTCCTACCTGAAACGTGGATGAACGGCGGTGTTTTTTCTCAGACTCTATCATCGCTGTCTGTGTTTTGTGCATCTGCTCAACAGCCTGCTGCATAAGCTGCTCATATCGATAAGCAAACTCTAAAGTCCCAGGTGCAGCAGGGGGCTGGTTCTCAGTAGTAAGAAATCCAAGGGCAGTCTAGGCTTAAAGGTTAATAGCAGACTATTCGGGCTCACGCCCGTTGCACTGTGGACCGCGTTGTTGTACAGGCTGGCAATGAGAGCAAGTTTCTCATCCCAGTCTGCCTGATTTGGCTTGATGTAATGCCTCAGCAGGTGTTGTACAACGCGGTTCAACTGTTCTACTTGTCCATTCGCCTCGGGATGGTTTCCTGATGTCATCTGCAGCTGCGTTCCCTGTTCTGCAGCTGCGGCTTTTCACAGTTCACTTGTGAATTGCACATCACGGTCACTAACGATAGACTTTGGCAATCCAAAGTCTCTAACCCAGTTCTCTTTGAACAGCTTAATCACATGCTCAGTCTTCGCTGTCTCCGGCATTGCAACTAACCTAGCGAACTTACTAAACCTATCCACGATAACAAAGATGTGTCTCATTCCGCTCTTGCTGGTTACCAGCGTATCCATGAAGTCCATGGATAGGCTCTCACCAGGCCTTTCCGGAATCGGACAGGGCTTGAGGAGCTCAAGAGGGGCCTGTGTACTGGGCTTGTCTCTCTGACAGACCTGATAAGTCTCCACGTACAGCTTAGCATCTCTCATCATCGTGGGCCACCAGAACCGCTGCAACAAATTGGATGCAGTCTTCTTGAAACCAAAATGGCCGGTGGGGTCATGACATTCTCCTAAAAATAAACTACGCAAAGACTCTCTATTTGGGACACACAAACATTTATTCCCTTCCTTCTCAAGGAACAGCAAGCCGTTGATCAACTCAAACTCGGCATAAGTCTTCTTATTCTTCGCCTCAAGTCTGCGTATGATCTCAGACATGAACTGGTCCTCGTGATAGGCTTCCACCAAAGAACGAGTAACATCATCCGTAAGGTCGAACTCAGTAATCAGCGCACCTGAGAAATCAGGTCTACGCGACAAGGCATCAGCAACTTTGTTGTACTCCCCTTTCAGATACTGCGGGTCGAAGTCATACTGCTCAATGACTTCGATCCAACGCTTCAAAGCGCCAGATAGCACCGACTGAGTTCTCATCCACCTCAAGGTCTGATGATCGGTCCTGAGGATGAAGAACCTCCCAAGGAGATAGTGCCTCCAATGGGTCAAAGCCTTGTAAAGTGCATAGAGTTCCTTCTCATAGGTGGACTTAGCCAACTTCTTAGACGGCATCTTCTTAGACATGTACTCGACAGGCCTTAACTTTTTCCCCTCCTGCTGCGCAAGTACGGCACCAATGCCATATTGACTGGCATCCGTGGTTACTACAAACGGTTTATCAGGATCAGGAAGTTTCAAGACCTCGTAGTGCGTCAACGCATGTTTCAGATGTCTGAAAGCAGCCTCGCACTCGTCTGTCCACTCCCATGGGGTGTCAAGGCGGGTCAGATCAGTCAAAGGGGCAGCCACTATACTATAATGCTTCACGAAAGTCCTATAGTAGCCTGTGATCCCTAAGAAAGATCTCATCTCAGTCACAAACTGAGGACGTGGCCAATCACGAATGCTGGCCACCTTCGCGTTATCGGGCTTCAATCCCTCCGCGAAAATCTCATGACCCAAGTATGAGACACGGGTGCGGCCAAACTCGCACTTCTCACTGTTGATCTTGAACTTGTGCTGTCGCAGAAGACTAAGGACTTTGTCCAAGTGCGCAACGTGCTCCTCGACAGTCTTACTAAAAATAAGTATGTCATCGAGGTACACGATGACAAAGTTATCCAAGTAGTCATGAAATATTCGATTCAGAGCGTGCTGAAAGGTGCCAGGAGCATTGCAAAGGCCAAAAGGAATCACGACAAACTCATACATACCTTACTTGGTTTGAAATGTGGTTTTGTGTTGATCCTCAGGCCGGATTGCAATCTGATGGTACCCGGACTTCAGATCTATCTTATTGAAGTACCGACACCCTTGCACTCTATCTAGCAAATCATCGAAGCGCGGTAGGGGCTCTCTGTTCTTTACAGTGATGGCATTGAGGCCCCTATAGTCAATGCACATCTTAAGTGTTCCTTCCTTCTTCTTTGGTACAGATAGTACTGGAGACCCATAAGGAGAAACACTCGGCCAGATCCAACCCTTTTCTACGAGTTTCTTAAGTTGCCGGCGAAGCTCATCAAGCTGCCTGGAGACATCCGATAGATCCTACCCTTCGGGATGCTAGACCCTGGGATAATCTCTATCGCGTGGACGACCTCCCTCTAAACAACCCCTGTCGGCTCTTCAAATAGATCAGGATATTTAGCAACTACTCCCTCTATGTCCGACGACATTTTCACCGGCTCGCCTGCAGCAGAGACATACACTAGATACATACCCTCCTCCTGATTTTGCTTATAGTAATTATAGAACGCGGCCGCACACATGCATCCATGGGACTCAATCAGACTACTAGCTTTGAACTTACGTAATTTGGCGGTCCCTCCACCTGGCAAAGTGTGTTTGACCACTTTTCGTTCCTAGTCAAACTGGGGTTGTGCCACAGAAAGGTAGTACATACCTAACAACATATCCATGGGGAGTTCATCGCTCACTAGGAAAGAAACTCGATGTCTCAGTTCTCCTCCCGCGTACGGGAAACAACACTCAACATCCTGGAGGTAGTCATTGACTACCATGCGCCGTTTGTTGGCACAGGTCGACTCAGGCGCTGCACTCGCCCCTGTAAACACAGCCTCTCAACGCACGCGCGACTAATGAAGTTCCGTGTCGAGCAAGTGTCGTAATAGGCCTCGGCCTTGCGGCCCCCAATGACTACCTCGCTCACGAACATCTCACCCTTAGGGGCTTTGACCAATGTCGTCCAAGAAGCTAGCGGGTCTGATCTAAACCACTCCTCCTGTAGCTCCTCTAAGGACACAAACACATTCATCAAACATAGGGTCGATGGGTCTGGACGTGTTTGCGGGACGACGATGGAGTCAGTAGCTTGGGCCATCTCTCGAGAGGACCCGCTCAATCAAGTAGTCAGCTTGCTGATCTAGTGATCACTCATAAGTAACGCAAGTAGGACTTAGTCAAATCTCTGAAAATTTTTTCTTGCAACAACTATTTGAAAATTTCTGATATTCGCATTTCGTTTTACCTGAA